CCCACCCCCCATCTCCTGGACCCAAGCATCGGGCCCCCTTCATCGTGGGGGGGAGGGGACCACCCAGGCGCTTGGGTCCCCTTTGGCCTGGGGGGGAGGGGCCTGGGCAGAGCTCTTGACCCCGTTGACCTCCCCTCCCCTCCCCCACTCAACCCAGAGCTATTTTTAGCGTCCGGCTGGGGGATGTTTATCCTGCCAAGGGGGCCCCGGAGGCCGGGGGCCCCTCCCCCACCTTCCTACGGGACCCAGGAGGCCGGGAGCGGATCCAGGCGTCCAGGTGCCCCCCACCTTCCCGAGGGCCCCCGAGTTCCTCATGAATGGGGACAAGGGGTAGCAGCTCAGCCCCAGGGCATGATGGGAGCAGAAGAACCTAGGCCTCCCCATTCCCGCACCCCATGACCTCCTTTCCCCTGATTGGCTCTCCTCGAGCTCGGAGCGGACCCCGGCATCCGGATTCCCACCCCCGTCTCCCTACGTTCACCTACTTGGCTCCAGAACCAGGAGAGGACCCGGGCGTCTGGGTCCCCACCCTCCCCGCCTCCTACTTTCACCCAATTGGCTCTCCTGGAACAGAGCCAGAAGAAGAACACACCCATTGGCCGTTGCCCATGACCTCAAAACTGGGAGAGGGGATGATGGGAAGGGAGTAGGGATGGAGGAACAACTCAACGCGGTGAACCCAGCTCAACCCAAGATCTTGGATGAACCCAGCTCAACCCAACGCTTCTCTTGAACCCAGCTCAACCCAAGATCTCAGCTGAACCCAGCTCAACCCAAGATCTCAGCTGAACCCAGCTCAACCCAAGATCTCACTTGAACCCAGCTCAACCCAAGATCTCAGTTGAACCCAGCTCAACCCAACGCTTCACTTGAACCCAACCCACCGCACCCAAGGAAGCCCAAGGAAGCGTTTTTTGGCTCAAAGCTTCAGCTTTGCTTTGTTCCGGCCACCAACCACCTCCTCGTCTCACCCAAGAGCGTCCCCAGACACCCAGGCACCCCCCAACCACCCCCACCCCCAAAGCCGCGTCCCACGTCGGGCTCTTTCAGGTCTTAAGCCCCCAAGGCGGCAGCGGCTCGGCCCCATCTGCCCCTCGATGGGAAGATGCTCCAGGTCCTCTACGCCGTCACCTCGGCCGGACCCTCGCTTTGTCCCACCGGCAGCCGGCGCCTGGCGCGGAGTTGGCCGAGTCCCACCGTGGCCCAAACCTGCCGGAGACCCTGTCGTAGGGCGGCAGAGGAGAAGCAGAAGATGAGAGGGTCGAGGCAAGTGCTGAGGGTGGTGAGCAGCACGGCGTAGGCTCTCCAAGGTGGATTCTCCCGCCGTAGGTACCCCACCACGTGGGAAACGTTGAAGGGGGCGAAGCAGAGAACGAAGGCCACGGCCGTGGCCGACGCCAGGGCCACCGCTCGGCGCCTCCTACCCGGCGCCGTGGTGGGGAGGGCGACCACGATGCAGACCAAGCGGCCGTAACAGAAGGCGGTGATGGCCAAGGGTAGGCAGAAGAGCACCAGAAAGATCTCCAGGCGGAGAGCCAGCAGCGTGGCCAGCTGAGGAGCGGCGAAACGGGTGTAGCACGCCGTGCCGTTGACCGCCGCGTTGGGTTGGGCCACGTAAACCACGCTACAGTGAGCTAAAGAGGCCACCCAGAAGCCGGCAGCGGCCACGGCGGCATGAGTTGCCCGTCGGCGCCGGCGGTATTGGACGGGAAAGGCGGCGCCGAGGTAGCGGTCGACACTGAGAGCGGTGAGGGAGAGCGTGGTGAGGTAGATGCTGGTGAAGAAGAGGAAAACGAAGAGCGGGCAGAGGGCCGGCGGAAGCTTCCAGGTGGCCTCCCACGCCGCCTCGGCCATGCGGACGGGCAAGGAGGCCACCAGCGCTAGGTCGGCAACGGTCAGGTTGAGGAGAAGGACGTCGGCGGGCAGGAGGCGCCGGCGCCGGGCCACCGTCCCCAAGGCCACCAGGGCTGCCACGTTGAGGGGCAGCCCCAAAGCGAAGGCGCCCGTGTAGACCCCCAGGCACAGGCGGTGGTTGATGGCAAAAGGTGGGGCTGACATGGCGGCTGGGACCTGGTGGACTGCGAGATGGGGCGGCCAATGGGGGCCAGGATCTTCCAGGGTTCAGGTGAGTTGGCCAATGGTGGTTGGGTCTACCGGGGTTCAGTGGGGTGGGGGGTGGCTCCCTGAGTTGGGG